TTAAATTTAAATATGTATATATTTTTTTAATTATTTTCAAGAGGAATAGCCTCATATAAAGTTAATTTGGAATTTATATGAGCAGGATATTGCCTTTATTAAAAAAAAAAAAAAAAATTCAGAACAGTTGAAATTCCAAGTTAAAATGCTTGAAAAAGTAAAAGAACTCTCAAACTCAACTATGATAAAGAACTAAATATATGGGAAGAAAAATTCCATATACTTTTGAAAAAATAAAAGAAGATTTCAAAAATTTCAAAAATGAAAGAAAAAGTTCGATAATGAAGTAATTTGGCTTAAGAACACGAATTTATAATTCGCTGTGGGCAACATTATTATTATTATGTATATGTTCATTAAAAGCAGTTAGATTTTCTTTGGTATTTGTTCTTTTATTAATAAGTATAATAATTATATATATATTAAATATTTATACGATCATTTTTTTTTAATGGGATTAAAAAAAGAGGAAAATAAAAAAAATTACAAAATTAGTCATCGATAAGTTTTCAATATTCCTTAAACACATCTCACACACAATCTTTACTAGAGAGACGTGAGGTTTTGCTGATTTGTAAAAGATATTAGCAGTCCATTTGAATGTCAAAAAAAAAAAATAAAATAAAATAAAACAAATCAATTCTATGTTAGCAAAGTTTGGTTTTTTACATGACAAAATGATTAAATATTATTTGATTGTCAAATCGGTCATCAGAATGCCAAAAAAAGCGGCAGGATTTATTTATAAATTGTCACCGAACTTAAATAATGGAAATCCTTTTATTCAACAAAGCTGTAGTTAATAAAATATTCACCGTCTAGTTCTATTCCATAATAATAAATCTTCTTGTTTAATTAGTTATTTTATAATAGTGAACTTGATGGTAATAAGGATTTATTTCAACAAGTAATTCATCTGTATCACCTGTATACAGTATTGTTGGATTGTTTAAATTTAATTTTTTACGTCAATTAATGGGTTCCTTTTTTTAGTAAATTATTATTAACACTTTGTTTATTTTTTTAAATAGTTTATAGATATTAAAAGCGCATTTCATTATTCAGGAGTCTTTAAGCATTAGAATAGATGATTTTCAGGTAACATTTGTTGGGAAGATAGAAATATATATTATATATATTTATCTTGTAAATAACACTTTCAAGTTAGCTTATTAAGATTCACTATACTATTTGACCTTTTTCTAATCCAGCTCCATATGAATAATGGTATTTTAACACATTCATTGTTTATATATAAACCATCTATATAGATAGCTGTATGTAAATCAAAAAAAAAGGAGTTAAACTTTGAATTGATTTTCGGAATTATAATTACAATGATTAGTATTATATATAAATGTATGGGGAAAAAAATATATTTATATATTTATTTGATTTACATTAGAGAATTATAATAATTTCTAAAATTAATTATGCAAAGGTTTCTTTGCCACTATTTTTGTCAAATCCATTCGAAAATGAAAACTGATTAAGGTAAGAGAAATAAATACAATTAAGAATTAAATTATTATCTTATAATGAATGATATAGCTATTATTAATATCTTGCATTTAACTTCTATTTAACTTCATATTCTGCTAAAAATCCATAGCTGTTTGGTCCTGACTCATAACCTATTCTCCAAATACCTTTATGATTTAACATAACATCAGCTGAATAATAAACAACACCTTCCTCAAAACAATAATCATTATCAGTTGTTGATGGTTCCAAAATAACTTTTTTCCCAAAGTCTGCATCACAAATTAATAAATTTGGTGGATTATCTTTTTTACTCTTATTATTGTGGTTGTTTTTAACAATTATAATTTCAAATTTTGATTTTTTAGCATAGCCAAGAATTTTTGTTATAGGTCTAAGTATAGTAAATTTGAATGATGGTGAATCATATTTTAAAACAAATTGCCGATTTTTAAGTCCACTCCCTTGGTTTTTAACTTTGAAAGAAGCAGTCATTTCTCCCTTTTTTTAAATATTTAATGAAAATTTATTTTAGTGATTAAAATAAAACATTGCACAAAAACCCTCTCCCAAATATTTACCCATGTTTGACCCTCAGGAATAAGAAACATTGATAATTGCCCTTGTCCACGATTAGGGCATCCAAAGGATATTTTATGTACTCTACCTCCATTATTTCCAATCATATGAAAATTTTGATAAAAACATAAATCTTTATTACGAGTATTACTCCATTCTAAATTAACAGCAAAATTAATTGATTCATCAAGCAATTTCGTTTGTTCCAACTCAATACACAACATATCATTCTTAATTACAATTTCACATCCATAAAAATGTTTAAATATTAACCCATATTTAAAAAATGATGGTTTGACATATGGTAAATTAATAAACTCAGGCTTTGTAATTGTAGGTCCAATATATTGATGTTTTGGTTGTTCTGGTAAATGACTATAGATAAATTGGTTTGGCGATGCAAGGAAGTAAAAGTCATTAAAATTTTTCTTAAATTTTCTTTCTTCCACAACACCAGCACCCCAAGTACAATCAATTAATAAATATTCTCCATTATATTTAACACAGTTCCATGCATGTGCGTATTCTGCTGAAACAATCGGGGAGCCAACAGTATATCCGGCACCTAAACAACTTATATTAATAAATACAAATATATATATGAAAGTTTTTAAAACAAATTAGAACAATTCATACCTTTAGCAGCACCACTTATCCTAAATGTATCCAAACCAGAATCAACTGCTAAATCATTAAATAATTCACTGTATCCAGCACAAACTGCTTTTCTACTTTTTAAAATGTCTTTTCCATTTTGACTTTTCCTTTTTCCTTAATAAAAAGGAAATACAAGCAAGAGTATTCCATTAATTAATCAATTAATTAAAAAATTATCATTATTATTATTTATTACTATAATAATACCTGAATACAAAGATTCGGTGTCATAAGTGATATTATCAGCAACCCATACAAAAATAGCACGTAATTTATATAATGGATCATCCCACACAGAAGTAAGATAATGTGATAAACTTCTTATGGAATGTGTATCGGATTCTGGGGTCTCGCGTGCATATTCATCCACTGTTGAAAAATCATATTCTATCAAATGCATAATTATTTTAGTAAATTATCAATTTAATGATATTAAATAAATAAATAAATATATATATATATATAAATTATATAAAAATTACCTGATAAATCAAGTTGATCACCTTGAAGATCGGAATATAAAACAACTGTACAATTACTAAATACATCATTATAACAACATTATTAGTATATTACTCATTAGTATATTACTCATTAAGATTAAAAATAAAATAAAATTTGGTAAATACCTAAGTGGATCTGTTTCTTCATAATCATAACTACTGAAAATAGACATACTATCATAACTCTGAACTGATGAATATGATTCTTTCCTTTTGGTGGTAGGACGAGATGGTAGTGATTGCTGTAGCTGTTGTAATTCATCATTATCATCACCACTATCATCATCATCAATAATCTTTTTATTTTTATTCTTTTTCTTATTTTTATTTTTGTAAATATCAATAATCATATCATAATCGATTTCTGGATATTTTTCTGTCACTTTGACAAATATTTTTGGAAATGAACCAAATTTCTTTGAATTTTTACAATTACCATTCAACCAATCATCGTTTTCTAAATTACATAATAATAAAAAAATGAGTAATTTAATTGAATATTGAATATTACTTATTACTATAATTAACCCTTTTTCCTTCTCACCAATTCCAAGAACTTCAATAATATCGCCAGCTTCAAAAGATAAATCCATCGGATGAGTGCTCTTGTAGTCCTTTATAGCTTTTGCTTTGTATATAGGATGCCATAATAAATCTTCCCAACTATCATTATTATATTTATTCATTTTCTCAAATTAATAAATCTCTTATTTTAATTATAATTGAATTTGTGATTTTTAAAGGTAAAGAAAAGAAAGAAGGGAAAATCATGATTGTAAAATGGTTAATTTTTTTTACTTTTTTTATTTAACAACTTTTCTAATAATAATATAAATAATAAACATATTTGTGAAACATTTATAGGTTTTTGAATAACTTTTCTCGGTTAGAATGATTAGAATGAATAATGCAGCCGAGCAGGTTTTTTTTTGTTTATCGTGTTACGCAGAATTAACATTCTTCCATCATCAGCATAGTGGAAATTTGAAATGTTACACTAATTTTTTATATTGTGCAATGTAGCTTTACAATACATGGCAAACATTCTGGCAATAAAAAGTAAGTGATAAACTGGATTTGAATTGGATCTGAACTTGATCTCCAATTTAGAGAGGTAACAACTATATACTGGTGAAGTTTCAGGAACAATGAGTTCTGTATGACATTTCGTGTAACAACAAACTTCTACTCATCTGACATTTTTTATCTATTCCAAATTAGCCAATCGAAATTTAGATCAAATACCTATAAAATAAATGACCAATGTCAACTATCGATCGATCACCTGAACATATTCTTTAATCTCTTGTATCATATTTTCTGAGACGTTTTAAAGCTTATTTCGGTGAAATTATCATTGTCCTACCCTGCTACATACAAACATTCTCACTGCTTATACTCTTAACAAACACAATACAAAACAAAACAGAAGACTCAAACTAATTGAAATTAATTATCAAATAAAAAATTATTCATTAGATGGTCATGGTATGGTTGGTGAAATGGTGAAATATAAATGATTTGTGGTGCTAATTTTAATAAATTAATATAATAGATAATCTTTATATGTTTTGACTGATTCAATAGCAATAGAAAATATTAGACCTTATCACTCATCAATTATGGGGATAAGTTAGAAGAATATGCAAGTGCAACTTCACTCATAATAACTGAATCACCTTCACCTGAAATACTTGAGACATCTTTAGAGTTGTTCCATGAAAGAATTGAAAAGTTGAATCAAGGATTGCCTAAAGGATTATTTTCACTTTTTACTGATTTTAAAGAATTTGATGAAGATCCCATTATTCTAAATGCATTAAATTCATAATTTGTTTTTATATGTATATTCTATTTATAAAAATTATTTATTATTTGTTTATTTTTCATTTGTATCTTAAAAAATCATATATAAATTTTATTGATTAAAATAATAATGATGATGATGATATAATAAATAAACAATTAATTAATGAGATGAATTATATATTTTTTCAATTCAATCATTTAAACCACCAATCCATATTAATAGATTAATATGAATGGGCAGATATCCAGATTGACCATCCATGAATCACATCACTATTGTATGATCTAGGCAGTTGGAATGTCTATTGTATTTACTTTTTTATTCTAAATAGCAAGCTTTATTTCCATGGTGATATAATTGATATACATAATGACAAAATTCTTTGCCCACATCTAAAACACATAATTTTTTATCTCAACATTAATAATAATAAAAATATTAAAAAAAATCTTGGGGGTCTTGATCAGTTAATAATTTATAGGCCTTGATATATTTATCTAATGTTTTTTTGACAATATCTTCAGGTAATTCAATTCCAAATTGTTTATCAAATCCAATGCTTGACAAATAATTTCTTACAAATTGTTTATCAAAGCTTTGTTATATAAATATAAATTTATATTATTAAGTTTAGTAAGTTATAAAAAATTAGAATTAAAAAAATTGAAAATAACCTTTCTTGAGTTTTATCAATTGTGTAAGATTCAGCTGGCCAAAATCTCGAAGAATCTTTATAATTTTAATATTGATTATTAAATCATGTATTTATTATTATGTTATTGTTATAAACGATAATATATACCTGGAGTTAGTACTTCATCTACTAAAATGAGCTGTCCATCAGAATCAATCCCAAATTCAAATTTGGTGTCTGCAATAATGATTCCTTTACCCAAAGCATAAAGTTTAGCCTATAAATATATAAATATATAAATAATTGATTGATTATCTAGATAAAAGTATTAAAATAATCAATAAACTAACCTTTGAATATAACTTTATTGAAATTTCTGAAATTTTATTTGCATATTCCTCACCAACAATTTCACTGACTAAATTAAAAATCATCAATGTATTAATTTATCAATTTAAAATATTTTATCAATAACTTATTTGTACCATATACCTTTATTGGGATGAATATTTTCATCTAATAATAATAATAATAATAATAATAATAATAATAACAGCAGATAAATATATAAATATTTTCTAAAGAAATATTTTTAAAATTTAGAAAAAAAACTCACCATGATGCCCAATCTCTGCTTTTGTACTAGGAGTATATAAAGGTTCATCAAAATTTTGACATTGTTTTAAATTTTTAGAAAGTTCAATGTCACATATACTACCTTTTCTCTTATATTCTTCCCAGGCAGACCCTTGAAAATTAAATTATTATTATTTCTATAATTATGATTATAATTATTTATTATGTTATTATTATTACCAGTTATATAACCACGCACAATAGCTTCAACAGGTAGGACCTTACATTTTTTTACCAATAAGCATCGGTTTTCTAATTGATCTTTATATTTTTGTAAAATATCTGGCATTTCACTGAATTCTGCTGTTATTAAATGATTTGGTATAATATCTTTTAGATAATTAAACCAAAATAATGAAATCCTTGTTAAGATTTTTCCTTTCCCTGGTATTCCCTTTTTTCAAATAATTAAAAGAATCTATTTTAAAATTTTTTTATTTCTAACAAAAATCATGATGATAATTATAATTTACCCACATTTTTCATTATAACATCAAATGCACTTATTCGATCAGTTGCAACAAAAAGCAAAGTTTTTTCATCTATTTCATACAAATCCCGTACTTTACCACGACTTATAAGTTTCAAGTCTGGACAATTACTTTCCAAAAATGCAGCAGTAGTCATTTATTTTTTTTTAAACGTGTAAATATTATAAATGTTACACATAAATCATAAACTACCAAGCTATTATTGTAGAGTGCTTTGTAATTTTCAAGCTTGGTCTTGAATGGACTCAAAACGACATTTTTAATCGCTAATTACTAAGAAATCATATATCATATTAATGATCAATTAATTATATTCATTTTATTGCAAACAAATAAGAAAATTCTACAAGTGATAACGAAATTAAAACAATCATGATAAGCATAAATAGTGAGTGAACGAGCAGGTAAAGAAGTAACACACACACACACATATATAAACCATTATTAAAGTTTAAGAAAAACAATCTCAATTCAATTTTTTTTATTACTCCAAAGATGACAAATAATTTTTGAACTGGATTATAAAGAACATTACGACTAATATATGGAACATGATAGGCAGGTAAAGTGGTAATATATATAAACTATTATTAAAAAGTATAAGAAAAATCAATTTTTTTATTACTTCAAAGGTGAAAAAAAACAAAACCGAATCATAAAGAATATGCATTAATAATGTATAGAAAATTATATATAAATAATAGGCACATTTCATGTGCTAATAACATTAAAGGTTGGCCATGATGTAAATCTGGGAAAGGATATATAATGTATCTTTAATAAAAATCTTTACGTTAGGTGGTATATAAGCACATTAATCATTCAAAATGATGTGAACGTGTTAATATTAGATGGGAAATCTAACATTTTTTGAGGGAATTTGGGTAAGGGAATATGTTACTGAAAAAAACATATGCGTACATAATTATAACGTGGATAATTATTTCTGAAGTATAATTTGTTTCGTATTGGTTAAATTGTTGAAGCTGAGGAGTTTTAGTTACCCACCAAATGCAAAAAGGAAAAATGGTCGGGAAACTATTTATTATGACTTTGTATACATTTTATACTGATAATGTTGGATGTTGACATCCTAAATCTCCATATCATTTTCAATATTTCTTTCTTCAACAACGTTGCAATTCGAAAAATAAAACTTTTTCTTTTATATTCATTGTTTTCGTAAAGAAAAACAAATTCCTACGAGATTAAAACAAGAAGTTTATAATATTTAAAGTTGTATATATATAAAAAAGCTTGTGAATAATGAGCATAACATTCATAACATTAAAAATAAAAAAAATTATATGATTTAATATGTCATGAATATTCGAGAGATACAAATAGGAATATTACCATCCCCGCCACCAAAACCAGTATATAATTTTAAAATTTCTTCGAGATTATCTTAAAATCATTTTCATTTTGCTTTAATTCAAGGATAGTGTTCCTTTTTCATCCATAGATTGTGAGAGAGAGAGCTTTCTCATCAAAAATAAAGATGGGAAATTCATTAAATTCAGAAACTTTTAGATATGTATCTTTAGAAGTAGAGAATTTTTGCCGGAAATCTTTCTTATTATAGATAAAAAAATTTTTGATCAAAAAAAAACTTTTTAAAAAATGCAAAATTTGTTTAAAAACCTTTCAATAATCTTTTTTCGACAAATTAAAAATAAATCATCACCGTCGTCATCATTTTTAACAAGAAGGATAATTTATTGTGATCTTACAACCACAAATACTAATCAATTACCAAGACAACAAAGTATTGTCACAAGAACTAAAGCTTTACCAAGTTTCGATGGAAATAATTTAAAAATTTCAACAATATTCAGAAATGCAATAATAAAAGATGAAGTAGATATTGCCTGGTCATTATACACTTCATCTTCAAAAAGAAGAGACAATAATAACAATAATAATGGAAATTTAACATATGCAGATTATTGTGATTTAGCAAAATTATTAAAGAACAATGGATTGGTAGTAGATCAGACAAAGATAGATTTGAGATTGCAACAAATGGAAAAAATCAAATCTGATATTATAAATTCAAGAATAATTCATGACATAGAAATTTATAATTTATTATTAATAACATATTCAAAAACTAAAAGATTCGAGGGAGTTTTCGAGAATTGGAAATTGATTTTACAACAAAATGAAAGACATCCATCATCCATAATACCAAACAAAACTACACTAAGTATAATAATAAATTCATACATAGAAAATAAAGCATCAATTAATGATTTTAAAAAACTTTATGAATTATTTAAGGCTAAACGGTTTAAGTTGGATCATCAAATTTACGTTTCGTTTATACATGTTTTTGGTAATTTGGGCGAAATTGAAGAATTAGAAATTGTGTTTAAAGATTATTTGAAATTAAATTCCTTGAAATTGAATTCTTCGGTATTTGATTCGATAATAGCTCAGTATCTAGAAAATAAGCTGGATATTGAGAAATCAATCGCAATATACAAACAAATGCTCAATAAATCTTTAAAGCCACCAAAACAAACGTTCAATAAGATAATTAATGCTTATTTTAAAAATAATCAATTTGAAAATGCTAAAAATTTTTTTCTTGAAGAAATGGAAAAGAGATGGAACATTAGTGTTGATATTGTTACTATTAACACCATGATTTCTGGTAACTTTAGAGCTGCTCTCTATCACTCTGGTCTAATCAGTGGTGGTGGCGGTAATAGTGGCGATGCTAATAGATCATTGGTTGATTTGTATGTAGAAGATGCAATAGAATGGTATTTATATATTTATAAAAATAATATGAACCCAACCCTTGTAACTTTTCATATATTGTTGCAAGGATTTGGTGATTTGAAACAATTCGATCAAGTACAAAAATGTCTTAAAGAAATGCATGATCTAAAGGTTGAGCCAGATGTGACAACATTTCATGCTTTGGCAGATATTTATGGCAAAAATCAAGATATAAAAAGTTTGCTAACAATATGGAGTGACTTGATAAATATGAAAACAAAATTAAACAATCAAATAATAACAATTGACACTTGGATAGTTTTTATAAAATCATTGATTTTTTGTAATGAAATGAATTTAGCTTTGAAATTTTTGAATAGTGGGAAAGAAGAATTTGGTAGTGATAAATGGAATAACAATGACATATTGAAAAAGATTCTAGCTAATCTAAAAGAACCATCCAGCTATCTTTTCCTTAAAAATCCAAATAAAATTATTGCTGGCTTTAGGAATTTAGTAAAAATAATTAAAGCTCAAGATAAAATTTCTGATAATAATAACAACAACAACAACAACAACAACAATAATAATAATAATAAAGTACTTTTTTTTTAAAAAAAAGATATTTCTATTAATCCCAAATTTCTGGAGATTGCAAAACTTATATATGTGTTAATTGTTCTACTTGATTTGAAATTCATTACTACTTGTTAATGATGAAATTATAAATTATGCACTATAATTAATTAATAAATACAAAATTATACTATTTTGCATATAAATATATTTTCATCCAAAAGATACGTGTACACTATTTAGGAAGTTTCCTTACGATTATTCTATAATATGCCATGGTACAATATGAACAATTTTTAGTACCATCAAAGACTTTTTCGATATATTCTTCGTATTCTTTAGGTTTTAGACCAAGAAAATCCACCGCTTGGCCAATATTTTTTGCCCCCCATGATATATTTCTACGACAAACTTCGGCAATTTTATTTTTATCTGGATCATCCCATCGACCACACAATGGAAGATCTTTCCGTATATATTGTACATCAACCACCGAATGAAAATGATCCGTAAAAGTCTTTTTAAGCAACTCGATCAAATCTAATGATATTCCATATTTTTTCAAGAGCTTTTCTTCCACTAGAATTGTGTTTTTCAAAAAAAATAAAAAATTAATTTTTAATTGGCTAACTTAAAATCTTCAAATATCAAAAAAAATTTTACTTCGATTGAAACACGAATCAGCTTCAGGAGATCCATTAACAAAGCCACCATCAATTTCACATATTTCCAACCAACCATTTGGTTTTAGAATTCTTAACAATTCACGTATAACTTTTGGCCAGTTATCATTTGATATGGCCGCCTTCATACATCTCATAAACACATAATCGAATGTGTCTGACTCGAAGTCTAATCCTTTGAGAATATTTCCCAACGCAAAATCTACATTTTTTGGTCTAATTTCATTCGGAAATATTGGCAGTATATCCAATGCAGTAAATTTTGCTTTTTTATATTCTGTTGCCATATCCAATGTCCATGATCCGTTACCACATCTAATAAAATTATACATGATTAATAAATAAATAAATAATTTAATTATTTTTAGTTATTTTTAATTACCCGACATCTAACACCCTAAATCCATCTTCATCTTTCAATTTTTCATCAATCGGAGCAACAAAATTTGATTCACCATTTAACGTTTTTAACACGAAATGAAGTTCATCTGTCCTTGCAGCTTCACCTTCATTAATTGGTAAAATATTTATATAATCATCAGTATTAGAAATAAAATCACCTCCGTCATCAGATAAGAATTTTTTCTTTTTATCAGCTTTATCCTTTAATGTTGAGTTATTTGCGCCCATGATTTTTTCCTGTTGTTTTGTTATGATTTAAAAATGAAAAAGTTTAAGAAGTGAAGAAATTATGCATTATTTGTATGAAAAAAAAAACCCCATATATTTAAAGATATATATATATATTAATATTACATCAATTGTTTGCCAGTGTGTACAACAATAATATGCAAAACTAGTTTATCTAGGTATATAGGATCTTCCCGTTCATATAGCACAACACAGCAGAAAATCGCAGTGATCGCATGGAGTATACATGCATATATAAGATTCAGGTGGGAAGGTATAACGTTACATCATAATTATGTGCACGAAATAAATTAATTAATACGTGAGACAGAATTTGGCGCAAAATTTTTTTTGCGAATTATTAATATGCTAATTAAAAATTTCCCCAAAACCATTTGTAATACATGATATGAATCTGTCGATGTACCAATATATCAATTTTCAATGACCTCTTTATATGCAGGACCACTGGATTCTTGCCTAAAAATCACCATTAGAGTTTTGGAGATATTTCGACACAAAAATAATATTAATGATCGGCAAAATTTTGCAATTGTCACACGGATCACGAATTAATTAATTATAATGGATTAATGAAAACAACAGCATTGTGAAAGTGAAAAAACAAGAATTTAATTTTTGTTTTGTAGTGACCACAAATCATTATCGTCATTAAGGGGGTTACACTCATCGAAATCAAGGGGATTTTTGACGATGCATGAATCTCGTGAATCCATGAATTGCAAATTTTTAAATTCAAAAATAGCAATGATTTCCTTTTGGTTATAAAATCACACGACTTAATCGTTTATTGTTAGCATTAGTATTAGTATTAGAGGTTCTATTCAAATAAGGTTTATCCCAATTATTTGTTTATTCGTTATGAATTTGAATATTCGAATAAACGAATAAACGAACGAAACGAATAAACGAACGAAACGAATAAAACGAATAATACAAATAAATAAACAAAATGAATAAAATGAATAAACAAATAAACGAATAATTCGAATAAACGAATAAACGAAAAATTAGAAGAAATAAAAATTCGTATTACGAATAGAAACTCTAATATTTATTTGTTGAACAAAAAATTTATTTTAGTGTTAAATAGGAAATTTTCTATACCACATCAAATTAATATCAATTAGTTACGAATAAATTATGATCGTATTATTTAGATATAACCTGAACGCATGTATATTTCTCTTATTGTTACAATATGTTTATTATTATGACAACAATACATCACATATACATTATCCTTATTTCATATCTTTATAACATTACTCACAAAATATTTTTAATGTAAATAATGTATTCGTAATTCGTACTATATATTAAAAATAAAAAATATTGTACTACATTATCTTTCTATAGCGGTCTTTATTTTGCCAAAACAGAAGGACCGATATATATATATAGTGTGTACTGTAATGCAGCGCAGATCATCTATAATCAAAAATGTAGTATAATAAAAATTTATTTTACCAAATTTGGCAAAAGTAAATAAAAAAAAATTCGAGTCACTGATTTTTATTAAACAACACTAGAGCTTTCAAAATCAGTGGTTAAAATTTTTATCTCAAATATTGAATGAGTTATGCAAGGTCAAAGTAAGTGCTCACTTTATATAAATTGAAAATGAGACCAAGTAAATTCGTGTAACGACGCGTTTTTAATCAATTTTACCAAATTGGTTTGGTGATTTCAATGGTCAAAATTATTCCAATTTTGATGGTAGAAAGTAGAAATTAATTACGGCACTCACTATTAAAAACATAAGTGTAATACCCTTTTATGACATGTGTAACTCCTTTATGACAGTGTCAAAATACTTTGGGCTGCATGTATAGCTTTAACTTTTCCTTACATTTTTTTTATATTTGTCATGATTAAATATGCCATTAACAAAAGAACAAATTGCTCAAAGAAAAAATTCTGCAAGTTGACCTAGAAATTTATCTACAGGCCAATTTGAAAAAATGTTCAATGGTTGGCCAACTAGATATTAAATAATATTTTTTTTTGAAATAAAAAATAAGCCTTTTTTTTATCTATCAACTTCATTATTTTTACATCTTTTTTTATTTTTTATTTTTATCTTTTTCATGACAAAACTTCAAAATTTAATGTCACAGACATATTCGCAAGAATAAGAGCTTTCAAATGATATAAAAATTACAATATTTTAATTAGTATAATTTTGAAATAAGCTCAAAAGAAATTTTGGATGCAAACATTTGTCCACCAAGTATAGATGAAAATGATTATTTTAATTTTACGGAAATATATAATAAAACTTTGATGGATGAAGTGGCTTGAGAATGTTTGTTGTATGATATCCCAATTGAATGTTCCCATTCAATGATTTCCTTGTACCTGGACTTAAGGTTGTGGGCAAAACCTCCTTAGTAATTACTGAAACCATGGCAAAACTATATTAAATCTTATCAAAAATCCTATTGAAACTATGCTGAAATGGCAAAACCTCAAAATGCGAAACTCTGCCAAAACTCTAATAAACAATTAATGTGTAACCTGCCAAAACCCTGTTGATTGATTTCTGAAGGAGTTTCAACAAGCAACCTTACCTGGACTTCCAAATTTTTTCAAAGTTCCTGAAACATATTTAACAATTCCAGAGCTGCTTTCCTCCCTTTGAATTTTGAGTTTTGATACATATGTTCCTTCTCTTATGAGATTTCTCATAAAGAATATACAAGATATAGGATTGTTGAAATAAGGATCTATTTCACACATTATTGTTTGTATATCTATGTAATTAACCTTAACATTGTTATAAATATTATTATTATAGTTATGGTTATTATCCAATAATGATTGAGTGAATTCAAGATTTTTTTATTAATTGTTTAACTGCATATTTTGAATTCTCACAATACCATAAATGATCATAATCTTCAGGACTTTAAATAATGTTTATTTTATCTTGGAAATAATAATAATATATTAGATTCAGATATGGGTTCTGTGAAAACATCAACAACTATATTAATATGATTTTTTGATAAAAATATATTGGATAGTTTTTCATATGGTTACATATGAAGTTACATGTCTCAGGGTTGGCAAATTTATGGTCCATTGGGCCTATTAGTGTAACATTTTAACCATATTTAGTATTTATTAATGGAAATGGACTAGTCCAAATTCCATCAGTTCTCAATGGACCAGTCAATTTGCCAACCCTGACATGTCTTATATGGGTAAATCTTTTAATTTTTGACATGTTATATGCTAAAATAGATAAAGGAGAAAAATGTTACATGCCTAAAAGGGTAAAAATTTTGGGTAAGGCTTCTAAAATTTACTAATAGCCTGGATATTATCTCAATAATAATCCAGGGTCCTAAAATATATTTATCATATTTTGATAAATAAGGTGATATTAATGTGCATATATGGTTAGCATTTGGATTGTGCATAATGTCCTAACAAATAATATAATAAACAATGATACACAAATTTTTATAAAAAAATTATTTTATGCCTCCACTTAGTAAATTTAGACTCATTTTACAAAGTGTAATTATTGTCCACATAAATTTCTTGCAAATTATTGTGAACAACACCTTAAAAAATCTACCAAAGTTTCCACAAAATGTTGTAGTATTGATATAGATGAAGATGAATTATATTGGGAAAATGAAGATAATGAATTATCAGAAGTGAAAAGGAATTTAAATGATGAAATTATGAAAGGTGATGGAGAAAGTGATAATGGATCAAATAAGTCAGATAGCATAGTTGAATTTTATGAATCAGATGGATATGAAAATGCTTAAGAAATAATTATTTTATTTTAATAAAGTGATTTTTTTATTTAGGTTATACAGTCAACCCCCTCTAAGTGCACACTTTCATTCATTCCCAAGCTCGGGAATTAGAGATAAGTGGCACACCCCCTTCCCCCTGCACTGCACGGTCTTTTTTCATTCCCATCTATATAAAACTCCCTCTCTAAGTGCACTCCCGTGACTTTCACGTGATCGTTGTCCAATAAAAATTGTGCGACGCTATTAAATTAAAATACTTTTAACAAAAAAAAATGGATAAAGAATTGATTTTTTGTAAGAGATGATAAAGAATTAAATTTTATACTTAGCAAATAATAATAAAGAATATAAAGAATTAAATTTATTATTAGTAAAAGGTAAAGAATTAAATTTATTAGTATGACAGAATTATTTTGTAAGAGGTGTTCATTTTTATTAAGTGAGTGACAGGGAAATAAAGAATTCTTTTTTTTTAATAGATACAAAGGTTATTAAAACAAAGTACAAGAATGTAGACAAAGAAGCTTATGTAGTTGAAATTATTATAAATAAGACATGAATCAAGAATTTTATTTAATAACTAAACTCTTGTAACCAACTTTAAAAATAAAACTTCTATTATAAATTAACCTTATCATTAATAAATTAAAAATAATATATATTCTTACATACACAACCATCTAATTTTTGCACTCACTCATCTCATTAAATATTTTATTCTTTTATTGCTTCTAAATAAAATGCTTCCAAAAAGAGTAACTTTATCTAATTCTCAAAAATATGAATTTTGTTTATTCTAGTCAACAAATAAAACTGGTTAATTCTCTTGATAGATATATTAGTTTGAAAACAATAAATACAATGAGGCAAACCATAATAGAATCTTATCTTAATCAATAATTATATAAAATTTTTTTTTAGTGAAGAGATGATAAAGAATTAAATTTTATACTTAGCAAATAATAATAAAGAATATAAATAATTAATTAATAAATTTTTATTTTTATGCAAAAATTTTTATTCTTTATTGGTGTCACGTGCAACCAATGAAATGCTTTGTTTCTCTAAGTGCACACCCCCTCTAAGTGCACGCTATCACTCATTCCCGAGGGGGGTGCACTTAGAGGGGGTTGACTGTAAATATGTATATATATATATATGAAAGTATTGAAAAAAATGATTAATTTTTTTTCACTAATTTATACACTTCATATTCTTCTAAAAAATTAGTGCTATAATTACTTTTAAGATTTAAATTTTCTTCATATATATCATCAAAATAATGATAATAACAATAAGATTCATTATCAATGCTGTTTAATAGTTGTAATTCAAAAAAATTGACAATAGACTCATGAAATGTTATATCGTCTATAATGGTATTAAAAGTTTTCTTATCATGATATATTGCATACTCGGGGCATTTGACTCTACTTATTATTGAATTATTAATTTGATTTTTATCAATTTTAAAAATAAAACTTTGATCTGTATAAATGTCATAACCTAAATCTGGAGATTTATTTTTTCTATTCCAAAAAACAGGATTATAGCCACCTACTAATTCACCTGTTTCTTCAATTTCCATCAACACTACAGTTTGTTCAATGTTATAACATTTCTCCATAAAAACTTCCCTTGAGAAGCCATCTTGAGATCCACAAAGTATCAATTCAAAATCATATGTTGTATTTTGATCAATCCAACCAGAAATTAAAGATCTTGATTTTGAATTTAATAATTTTCCTTTTTGGATTTGTGTTCTTGGACCTTTTTGAGAAAGAAATCTGGGTTGCCAATTATTAGTAAAATAATATTGAAGAATTTCTTCATAAACATCTTTATCAAAAATTTTTCTATAAGGTTTGATTCTCTCATGGAAATTTTCTTCAGATATTTCACTGAATCTTATTAATGGAATAATATCACCTAATATAGTTTTCAACTCTTTGAAATCATCATTGTTCCACTCTGAAATATTTTTTTCTAATGTTTCATTTTGACTTATTCCCCATTTAATAGCATAATCCCATACATAAATCTCATCCAAGTCTAAATCATTCTTATTCAATATAGACACAAGTATAGACTTTTCAATTATTGTAACATCATCATCATCATTAGATTTCAATAATACTTCTGGGTCCTCACAAATTAATTTATTGCAATGATTTCGAAGTAAACCAAACAATTGATGTTTTAATGAAGTTTTATGAACATACATTAAATTTTGTTGAATCCATTTTTTTTTTTCAATGATTAAATATTTTTGCAAATCATCCATCAACTCATTAAAATTTAATTCATCACAAGCTTCAAGAAGTTCTAAAGTTTCATTTGCATCCAGGGTATCAACATTAATGATTCCATTGTACATATACCTTTTAAAAATATAAATGGAAAAACCAATATTGGTAAATATGATTATTTTTTAATAATTATAAATCAATCTACTTACATTAAAAGAACTTCAAAAACTCTTGGAGAAATATTTTCTTTTTCAAATAAAATATCACCATTATGAGATTTTTTAATCCAATTATTGGATAAAGCTGCTCTGAAATACAAAGATCTCGCTTTTAAGATGATAGAATGAGCTTTAAAAGTTTTACTATCTTTCTCTCCTCCAACTTTGATCTCAACATCATAATGATCAGAATTATTCAACAAGTTTGAAAAATCATTTACTAGCTTATTAAAGTATATTAATGGCAGAGTATCAGAAATGTTGAGGTTGTTAAACAAGTATATAGTGTCATCCAAGGATGAGAAATTATTATAATTAGACATTTCGAAGAATTTTATTTTTTATTTCTTAAAAAATTTTTTTGATCTACAGTATGTGAAATTGAGGCCTAACCCTTTTATTAACGAACGTTCAAGAAAAAATTTTGTACTAATACAATCCTTGAAATAAATCATGTGTTAAGTGTTATTAGAGAAAAAAAAATGTTAGAAACCATCAGTTCAAGTTCTAGTTAAATACGAAAAACTAGTTTGATTAGCCTATAGAAAAAATATATTCCAAAAGAAAAATATATCAATTATTAATTTTTCTTTACTAATTTATACACTTTACATTCTTCTAACAATGAACTACTTTATGATTATTTTTAAAATTCAATGATTTTCCGTTGCCTGTTTATGGGGAAACAATGTTAGTTTGGATTTCTCGTTATTATATTATTAAAGAAGTTCTTGATATAATTCTTCATTGATGATATTTTTGAATGGTGTGATTTTTATATTTTTATATAAAAATCTAATTCTTCATTATAATCCGTTTGAAGAATTAAAATATATTTTCCTTCCCAAATAAAATAACATCATCATCATCAGATTTTTGATCCAATTATTGGATAAAGCGACTTTAAATTGTGAAGACCTTGCTTTCAAAATATTTTGGATGAACTTTAAACATTTTACTATCGCCTCTCCCATTCCAATTTTGATTTCTACATCGTAACAATCTGATTATCGGACGCGGGTTGTTGAGATTCCAGACTTATGCGGTCGAACACTGGTTCGGCTCGAACCCGCTGAGCGGTCATAGAAACTGGTTAGGGGTTGGGGTGACGCGGGATTATGGTTTTTACGTATGCTTTTTTTTTCATAATTTTTGGGCAAATTAAATATATGAAATTTAATCGAATCTTCTTTTAAAGCTGTGCGTTTATCAGTTAATATACTTTTATAAATTGAAAAAGATCTTTCAGCATCAACAGTTATACTAATCATTTTATTTTTTATTAAATTTTTTTAATTTCTGTACTCAAATTCATAACTCATTGGCAAACATTTTTCTAAAAGTTGATTGAGCCTACAATATATATTTTCGTTGACTTTTTCAACAACGCATTGGTTAATTATTTTAAATCAGTGAGTGAATGTGTGAATAATTCAGAAATAGCACTCAGTCTAATATGAATATTTGGGGAATCAATGGTATGAAAGGTCAGACTGGTAAGTTATTTCATTTTACAAGCCGTTTAATTCATTACCAGTTGTTTCAGCAATATCGTAGTCCAATTTTTCATAGAGCGTTAATTATATTGATTAGATTATATAACTAGTTCGTCATTAGTGAACTGGACTTTATTATTTATCTTACTTTCATCGGTCGATACATTGCTGTATCCACGCAGGACTCTATTCTAAATGAACATCACAAGGTTGTTCATTTAGATGAGGGTTGACTATATATACATTTTTTTACAGTTATAAATACATCTACATTATTATCTTTAATGGACATCTTTTTTATCTCCGTTTTAAAATGAAAAGAAACACCAACCCAATCAGCATCAATCATGTGAATAATCCGTTCTTTGTAATATTTTATTCTTAAGCTAAGGAATGGTTTCCAGACCATTTGATTATTTTTGATGATTTCCACCTTTAATTCTAAAGTATCAATTTTAATATCATTTAGATTTAAAATCCCCTTAACGGCGTTGAAAAATATTTTAAAGGCTGCTTTTCTGGCCCATTTGTAAAAAGTCAATAGTAAATCGGATCATCATAATTACTCCGATCTTGTTTGTTGCCATTAATAAACAATAATTTTAATAATCGAGATTATATTAAAATAAATTCCCGACTCAAATCCTATTGAACACACACAAATGAATTGGAGGCTCATATTTGAAAAGACCTAATCAGCAAAAATTTGAACGAATTAGTGGTCGTTTTTAATTGAAGAATTCCAATAGATGTTTACTTAAAATTAATTGAAAGCATTCTTGATAGAAATTAATGTCTGCATTGCAAGTGATGGACGGCCTACTAAGTATTAATTTAATAAATTAATAAAAGTTTAGATATTTTAGATATAATTATTGAAATTTCAAGTCATTTTATTAATATATAATAAAATCGTGCCAAAAAATTTAATCTATATTTTGTGAGTATATTATTATAATTTATTATATGCTAATTTTAATTTTCTTTTTATAATGCAGGAATTCACTTGATGTTAATAGAAGTGGGAGTATTAATATTGGTGTCAGTATTATTTATTGATGATTTAGATTCATTATTTGGCTGTGATGAAGATTTCTGGTTTTGTTGTGCAAGAAACCGCCTTTAAATAATAATAATAATAATAATTAGTTTTACATTTTTCTTCTTCACTTTCCCACAAAAATTAATAATAAATACTAACTTTCTAGCTTGTAAAACCATTGCATCTTTTTTCCATTGTAATATTTCTTGCCTTTTTTCAGGGGTAGCTTCCCATACTTTTGGTGGCTCATTTGGAACAATATCTCGTTTAATAGCTTCATGAAGCTTATATTTATCAATAAGTGATTTATGATTTGGAGTCACATTAGAACGTGATGATGATGCTGATGTTGTTGTTTGTGTTGGTGGTGGTCGAGGTGGTGGTGGCTTAATATTCATAAAAAACCTTTGTCAGTTTTTGTTTTTTGTATAAACGCAAATATATATATATATATATATGAGAATTATATTATAAATACCATTGGAAGACTACTATTATTTTTAAGAATATTTTCACAAGTAACTTCTACTGACCCAGTTTTTTGAAGATCGTATTTTATTGCAGCAGTTGGTATATCAGGAAACATTGAATGTACTGTTTCAATCTATGAAGGGAGAAAAATATTAAATTAATTAGATAAATAAATGTCTTATAAATGAAAACAAAGAAAGAAATAAAGATAGATATCTTTATTACCATCTCAGGAGTTACATGTCTAAGTCTAAATCTAGGACGTTCATTTTGATTAATTATTCTAAAAGCTCTTGCTGTTTATTTTTTGGTTCAAAATGTTGAAATTATTTTTTTATAGATTGTATGAAAAATAAAAGAAATTAAAAAAAAAGGACTTACTTATTATTCGATAAAAAAATACTCCAAGAATAGAAAAAAGTATTGCAATAATACTTAATATCATATCATTTCTATTAATTATTATTATAGCCATGGTAAAATAAATATTGCGTACAATGAAAAGCAATGAAGGAAGGAAATTTTTGTTTTTTATTTTATATATATATATAAAAATTAAATGAATATCAACACGTGATTTTACCAGAAGAAAAAAAAATTTTATTATTGTTTTTTTGGCTGGGTGGGTTACATAATCAAATATTTTTATTGTAATATAAATAAATGTCCAACTCATCAAGTTTGCCTATATTATTTTCATTCTGTAAAAAACCTCACTATGGCAACAAATTGAAAAGTTTTTTTGATATAATAACCAAAATTTCATATATTGGAATTAAAGATCTTTTATAAATATTACTTTACTAATAATTTGTGTCAGTTAATTATTTTTCCAAATCCTTATTTGATAGGGAATTGGAACTTAAAAAGGCCATCATTAATTGTTGGCAGTGTAATATATAGGTAAACTCGATAAGTGGCTGGGAATGGTGGTCCGACTTATCAAAGAAACTCGACTTGTCGAAATATGCAATTTTACAAAAAAAGAAAGCTAGTTTGTATCAAAATAATTAATTTGTTTTCCATTTAATTTAAATCTTTTAATCCTAAAATCAAATAAATTATTTACTTATACAGCCAAACCTTATCACAGCGGGGCTATAATTAAATTCTTGTCATAACGTATTTTAAAATTTTCGCCATTTTATTACATGTTGGTGGGCCCATGTTTTCTACTGCTTGCAACAATTTCATCATTATTAAGCATTTTTAATTCCTAAATCAGAATTAATCTCAATGTAACTTCTTGCTGTAAATAGTAAGACGAAACTTGCAAAATAATAAATCGTACATTATTAAAAATAGTAAAAATTATCTCAAAAATTTACCAAATCCGACTTATCAAAAGAAATTGTCCAAGTTAGGCTAAATCCAACTTATCGAGTGTCTGACTTATTGAGTTTACCTATTACTCTATGTATAGAAATTTAAATTTTCTTCCTCTCATAAATTTAAAGAGATTATTGACTAGAAGTTTCAAGTATATGAAAACCATCTAATAATTAATTGAGGAGTAGTACCAAGAGAAATATTACCTAATTGTACCAAAATTTATCATCAAAGTTAATATCATATAATTAAGTTTATATACTTCCGAAATAATAATAAACTAAATTTTTGAAAGTATAATATTCCAATTCATGTTTCTCAATGGTAGAAAATTATAACAAGCTTTGCTAAATAAATAAATATCAATTAAAAAAATTAACTTTACACAGAATTCTATTAAATCTACCTTTCCTTGACATAAAGTTTTAAGTGTCATGGCAAGTGCAAAGTGTGAATTAACTGACTCAATGGCTTTTTTGCCACCATTAAAAGTTAAAAACAAATTTTCATTAATCGATTACTTATTACAATATTCTTAATATCCTGCAGAACTTACTGTATTATATTCCAATATGATTGATATCTTGTGGAGGATTTCCAGTAGATAATAATTCATTGACAAGTTTTTTCAGGTTTGATAAATTTTCTCTATTGACTGCCTTCTCTTTCTTAACTTTTTTATTGGTTGATGAATCGGTAGCAGGCACACCAATGTATTTGGATGGCAAATTACTTTTGGTCAATGTTTTTTGGGTATGTCAGATTCTTTGTTTCGTGAATGGTTATTATTGCTCTCTCCAATAAGTGGTATTAAACATAGTTTTTCAAATTACAAAAATATTTTAAAGGATAAAAATAAAAAACATCTATTTAAATGTTTAATGTTTTATATTTCAATACTTGTCAAATTTATTAATACACTTTTTGGATTAATGTTAATGACACTAAAAAAAAAAAGAATCTAGTCAACTCTAAATAGGTACCAATTTCGTGCAACCATTTGATTTTGCGTTTTAACGTGTTATTTTCATAAAATGTTTTGTCACCAAAAAAAAAAATAAATATAAATAATAAATAATGTCTTTTGAAAATTTTGATCAATATTTTGCTGATGAACCTGTAACTAACACTTTATTTATTTCCTAATCTAACTATTAAATCTTTCTTTTAATAATAATAATATTGGTTTAATTTGTGTAGAAAGTTCCAGTAAAATTTTTTAAAGAAGTTGATGGTTTAGGAAAACTTGTTGGAACTGATGATTCCATAGTAAGAAGAATATATTGTTACTATTATCGTTAAACAATATAATAATAATAATCATTATTATTATAATAATGATGATTTTAATTATTTATGATGATGATTTTAATGAATAAAATAAACATATATTAGAGAATCAAGGCAGGTGCAATAATAGATTTACCATTTTGGATAGCCAAAAGACTTGCAAAAAGGTTTGATAAATCAATTTATTTATTTATTCTGTACAAAATTAATTCATCCACCAACCATCAATAAAATTAACTTTGTAGGCAAATAGTAGGAATTCAACGACCAAAATTTCTTGAGGATCAAATTATAAATGCATTAATAGCTAATCCAATTGATGTCAACCTACGTATTATATGTCCACAATTTTATACTTTTGCAACAAAATATGTTGAACAGTTTGTATCATAATAATATAATAATAAAGAAAAAATTTTAACAATAATTAATTATAATTGTTGTTGTTATTTATTTTAGAGCTAATGATGCTAGATTTGCTGAAAAACTTAGACAGACACTATTAACAGTAAGGAATCAAAATTTCATCATATTATCGCGAACTTATGCACGCAATTTATATATAATTACCTATTTATCTAACTAATGATTGATTTATGGATTGATTAGAGTAAACTAGCAAGAAACGTAGAAATATGGGATAGAGCTAAAAGATTTGCAGAGGATCATAATGAATTTTTGGAAAAATTAGATGATGATGAACAATCATGTAAGAAGAATATAAATAGAATTGATTATAAAAGAATCTCTCTGGTTTTTTTTGATTTTAAAAAAAATAATATTCAATTTAATTTTTTTTTTAAAAAAAACAATTATAAAGTGTTTCATGAACAACGTGAAAGATTTGAAGAATGTTATATGGAATTTTGTTAAATAATTAAAAAAATTTGCTTGCAATAAGAAACAAACCATTAATTAAAATCATGATCACATTATTATTATCAAATGTTTGCCATTTTTTATTAGTGGTGATGTAACTTGGGCCACTTGTCAAACAGTGACTTACTTTACCTCTCTCTCTCTCTTTATAATCCATCTATCCTCCATCTTATGTATTTATTACTGCATAAATATTTCATGACCATGAAACAGTGTCACATGCTCAATTTGTAGATTTGCATCATGTGTTCACCAACCACTCTTATGGCCTTGCTTACAAGTTTCACATTCAAAATATTTAATTCGTGATACACACATATGTATTTAACAAAATCTTGTTATTGTGTTAATAACACGTTACAAAGATTTCTAGATCTTGCATAATAAGTGTGGAATCTCACTAACACCACTAACAAGATTGTATCGGCCCATATGCTTGTTGTGTATTAACATTAATTTTAAATGTGGCGCAGTGTGTACTTTTGCGCGTATTATACTCGAAAACAATCTCCTTCCCTCCACTAGTTCCAATACTGCCGGTATCCATAATACTGAGCATCAAGAACGTGTTAACGATTTAGCCTTGAACCATTATCGAAAACTGTTCAATATAATTATGGAGATTTGTAAATACGCACACTTTTACCGCGAATCATTATTCAAAGATAGATAAAAAAATTTTTTTAGCAACGTTCAAACTGGCATAGCGATAATTGCGTAACTCCTTTAAAAGTTGTCAAGGAAAATAAAAAATCTTCAGTTTTATAGTATTTTTTCAACAGTTATAATAATTGTCATCAAAAGCTACTAAAACATCCAAGAAAAAATAACAGATTGGTGGTGTATACACACAACAAGAGTATTAGAAACATAATCAAATATTTATTTTCTAATAATAATAAAACTTCAGGTCAATTTGTTTCTCTTTTCTAATACAATTTTATTATTCGGTATTAATTGGCTAAATCCACTATATTAGGACGCGAAATAAATTAGCGATCAGATCATAAAATGGAAGAAACAAACAAAAGAGGAAAATGAGCTCTTCCAACTGTAATTATCGAGAAAATCAAATCAGTAAATTATATTAAAAATAATGAATGAGTGATGGAATTGATAATTATTTAGAACTTAATTCTATTTTAAAGAACTATTGGTTATGCACAAGGATGTTGCAAAAAGCAATACCGAATTGATTGAAAAATAGAGGCAAATGGATAGCATTAAGTGTTCCCTCATCATAGATAAATTAATTAGATGATGATGTAATTTAAAGAGATCTCATCATATAGTTAAAAATTTTTATTTTTAAATAAATATTTGATGCTTTATTTGATAAATAGGCAAATATATATATATTATAGATTATTATTATATTAATAATAATAATAATAATAATAATAATAAATATTTTGTTGATTTTTTTTTTCAATAAATAGATGTAATAAATGTATAATAAATAACTATAATAATAAAAATTCATGCATAAATATATATATATATATATCAATGATAATAACAATAATGATATAATATAACAACAGATAATGGATATATAAAGAATAATATAACATATAATAAATATAAAGGAATTTAAAAAATTCTTACTAATAAGAAAATTGAATTTGTTTCTCTTTAATATTTTTTTTCCCTAAACCCAATAAACAAAAATTGAAATTGAATGAATGAATGAATGAGTGTGAGTGAATGAGTGAATGAAATATAAATTAATTAATTAATTAATTATAAAGCAAATATAAATAAATAATAAATAAATAAATAAATAAATAAATAAATAAATAAATAAATAAAATTTGTTTTTTTTTCTTTTTCCGCGACTCATAAATAATTAAATATTATTGCCTTATTTGAATAGGATTCTCTTTAACAAGGTTGGATGAATGATATGATTCAGCATAATCACGTTGTTGAGGTGCATTTTGATGCTGATGACGTACTATTTCATACTTTTGCCCTGATTGTTGATTATGATTATTATAATCATGATGTCCATTAATTCCATTATATACGTTAGAACTGGAATTTACACTACTGCTAGAACTATTACTAGCGTTAGCGCTAGTGATAATATTATTATTACTATTACCAACATTACTAACAATGCCAACACCTACTCCGACACCATTATCCATAACACCAACACTACCATTATTGGTGGTATTATTACTGTTAAAGCTATTATAACCACTACCACCACTAACTTTATTTTCTCCTACTTCACTTATTGGATTTTGCATTTTCTTTGATTTAACAAAATCTTCACATCTCTTAAGAATATCTTTTGTTGTCAGCACTTCTGGATTACTAAATAAATCTTGAACATCTAAAATTGCCATTAAATCATCAGGTACCTTTTTTATTTTATTTTTTTTGAAAATGATAGTTGTAAGAAATTAATTTGTTGCTTATTCAGCTAATTAAAAAAGAAAAGAAAAAAACCTACCACCCAAAATTCATCTTGATATTTTAATAAATTATGAACAGCTTCAATTGCTAAAAATGATTCATCTTTTGATGGATCTTTTGATTTCGAATAAAGAATATTTGGTGTTATAACTGTGGCAAGATTATGAAGATCCATTTTACTACCTGTCTCTTCGTCAACATGGGAAAATGATGCTACCCATTTAAAAAATATGAAGAGCACTTCCATCGTATCACGATTTATTTTTGGTAGTAGACAACATGCAAGATGTAAAATTCTCTTTCTATCTGATTCATTATCAAGTTCTTTTTTTTTTTAAAAAAAAAAAAAAGAAATTTTAATTAAATTTAAAAGAAAAATTTTAATTAAATTTAAAAGAAAAATTTTAATTAAACTTTAAAAAAAAAAAATTATATAAATTTACTTTGTGAAGTAACAAAAAGCTTATGTAATTTAAACGTTAACAATGGTTCTGGCAATTCTCGTAAAAATTTTTTCATCAATGCTGCTACTTGGACTGGTTTATCTTCTGTCAGATTTACCATAGAAGGATGTCTGTCAATTACATCACTAAGATCTTTTAATCTTCTAATATTTCCATTTTTACGAAATATTCCTTCAACTGACATATCTATATATAAATATAAATTTAAGTAATAATCCATAATAATAATAATAATAATAATAATAATTGAGAATTCTTTTTTTAATTATATAAATTACCCATTGTTTTCATGGCTGATATACTATCATCAACAAAACTTGGCACTTTTATTTGACCTGGTCCTGCACCAAGTACCGAATCAAATCCATTTTTTTCAACAAGAACATCCAGAGGTACACCAAATGTACCTATTATTGATTATTATTATTATTATTATTAAACCAATTATTAAGCAATAAATGGATTAGCGGATTATTATAAATATATTAAAGAAATATATTGTAAATCTAATTGCAATAAAAATGATTATATTAAAAATGATAGACTAAAGCTCCAGATAAATAAATTTACAAAAATTTCTTTTCAAGTGTAAAACTAACTATTTTCTAAATTTCAATATTAACAATAATGACGATGATAACAACTACAAATAACCATTTTTCTTTTTCTTTTTTAATAATTACCTACCTTTCTTTTTGACTGGTTTTTTCTCGGTTGGTTTAATTGATGTAACAAACTTTGACCATAGTGTTGCCTTTTTTGGTTCAATAAGATCTAGTAATTCCTCTGATGTGAAATAATCTTTCAAATATTGCTGCATCATGAGAACTGCCACGTGCTTTACAATAAAATATTCTAATGCTGAAAGTTCTGAAAAATATGATTTTGTTGTTGTTGAATCTTTGAAATTTTTTTTTGCTTTTTGTGCTAGTGTTGAATTTGATGATGATGCGTTCATTTCAGCCGCTGCCAATTCTGAAATATCACCTAGTGTAATAGCAGCTTTATCTGTATCAAAATTTAACTGATTGTCTGCTATCTCAGGATCTGGAATTTTATCCTCTGTGACCTTTACATGTCGTTGTGAAGGTGATCTGACCAGTTTATCCTTGGTTACTTCATCAGACCCATGTTGGCTCTCATTCACTACAAATCGTTTTGGAACTTTTGCTGAAGTTGACATTTTACGATCCATATGAATAGATTTCATACGCTTTATATCATTTGTGCTAATTGATTCATATTTTTTATCCCCGCTCGAATAAGATTTTGACCTGGAATCTTTACGAACAAGCTCTGATTTCTCCTTGTCAGTTTTACGGCCACGACTATCATCACTATCAGACAAACTATGTTCCTCTTTATTTTGTTTAAAAAAAATTATTTTTAGTAATAATAATCATAAGCAACAACAACAACAACAACAATAACAACAAAATGACAATAACAACAACAATACCTTTTCTTCTAAGCAAATTATAAAGTCTAGATAAAGCAACACGTAACAAATAGGTGTACTGCTCTAACTGTGTAACATGTTCGAATCCAACAGATGCTGGCTCCTTGGAACAATTTGGACAATACGCTGACCCATGTATTTCATTGAATGTGGCTTCTTGATATATAGAACGTAACTCTTTTGAACAATTTGAACATCTCAAGCATCCAATATGCCAACGATATTGTCCATACTTGTAACACTCCTCTTCTACAGTGACCCGGCATGAATGACATAAATCAGAAGTGACTTCACTATCAATTGTTGATTCTCGTCCTTGACTTAAATTTTTGGTAAGCTCATGAAGTTTATTTAAAAATTTTTCTATGGCTACCTTATTATCAAAATCTCTTTCCTAATATATATATATATATATATATGTTAGGATATGACTTTATTTTAATCTAAAGTATATTATATTGGAAAAATAATTACCAATTTTAAAGCACTAGTTAAAGCTATCCTAATTAATATTTTTAAATAATGTGCTAAGCCTGTTACAAGTGATAATAATTCTTGTGTAATACCAAGTTTTCTGACCCCTGTTTCTTGAGTGTGTGATAATAATGAAAAAAAATTGACTATTTTTTTACAAAGCATTTTAGCTTCACGATTATGCTGTAAACCTTTAAAATATAAAGTAATATTAATATTAATTAAATTATTTACCCTTCCTAAAAAACATATAAATTATTATACCAGCGACTTGAGCAAATAATAAATTAACTGCATACCTTGCCCACTTGCTTGTATTGATTGCATTTCTAATTCATCAATTGCAGAAAATAAAATATCTACATGACTTATAAATTTATCAGCCATCTTAACACCATCAAGATATGATCCATTCGATACATGAAGTAGCATGTCTGAAATACAAGCAGCTGACATTTCCTCAAAAGCGGAAAGTACTGTCCATATCTTGTAAACTTTTTCTTCCATTGACTTTTGTTGTTGTTTCAACTCCTCTGGTGTTATGCTGACGTCTACCTGAAGTTGTTTTTGTTGTTCATCTTGTTCTACAAAATATATATGTTTATTAAACAATGCGAGAAATTCTTTTAAATAAATATTATATAATAAAATCTATAAATATTATTTCTCTTTTTTCTTACCATTATCACCTTGTAATTCAGATTTTTCATCTAAATGTGTGGCAAGTTTAACATTCCAAAACTTAAATTGTAACAAAAAATTATTATTCATTAATCAAATTCAAAAGTTATAAAACCAAAAATTACTATAATCATTGATTTAAGCATCCTTACCTTGTGAATCATGTAGCATTCAGGATGCCAATGCTCATCAATGCTATTACGATTTATTTCTACAAATTGTTTTAATATAGCAGTCTGGCATCCAGTACACTTTACTGCAAACCTAGTTGAATAATGATAATGACAATATACTTGACTATCGTGTTCATAATATGAATCTTGTGGGCCAAATAATGTTGGGCAAGCAGAACAAGTAAAATGTTCAATGTGATATTTTTTTTCAAGCGCTGTGATGTAAGAGCCTCTAAGAGCTCCACCGCACTTTTCACAGATGAGATTTAAACGTGCAAAGTAATCACGCTCACATAATGGATATTGTTTCCCATCTTTGTCATCCATTGGGAAAAATTTTGCTGCAACTACATCCCCGCAATCCTATAAACACAGAATATCAATTAATTAATTAATTAATTAATTAAGCTAAAAAAATTTTTTTTTAATGATCAGAATTTCTACTTCAAAAGTTGAAATAATAGTTCAACGCTACCTGACATTTAAAGCAATCTAAATGATAAGTTCCTTCCAAAGCCCTCACAAATTGACCTACAATCATAAGTCCGCATTTCGCACAAGTTGTAAAGCTTTGTTTATTTGTATTTTGTTCTTCGGTGGCCGTCTCGTTGCGATCGGTCATTATTTTAGGAGAAAGAGGGTTAATGGGTGTTATGTTTGAAGGTAACTATCTATATATTTATTTATATATTTAAAAATATTTATATTATATTTTTGTAATTTATTTATTTATTTTTTTAAATTATAAAGGTTTTTTTTTTTATTGCCAACTAAGGTTTTCTAATTTGCTAATTTGCTTCTCTCCTTGGAAGATTTGTCTTACCAAATTACCAAATACGAAATAAATCATTCCGAGATATACTATTTATAGTAACAACCTTTCTAAAAATAAAAATAATGAATTAACGCTATAATACCTTTTTTTTTCCTAAATTTGATAAAATCGAATGTCGATCACTTTTTTTTTTAGTTTGCCGAATTTGGCAAAAGTTTATAACACTGGAAATATGCCGTTCTTAATTAGTGATTCGATCCGTGGATATCCGTAATCCGTTCATCGCCATTTACCATCCGGTCATTACTCAGAAAATGCATCCGTTGGATCTCGCCGGATGAACCGGTTGATCCGAATAATCCGTAGAGTTAAATAATGATAATAATAATAATAATAATAATAGAACAGATAATCCATCGGATTGGACGGATTGAACAGAAATCCAATGAAACACATAATACTAAAGATACCCGCCGTAATTAGTTAATTGCAACAACGGTAATTACCGTAAAGGTAGTTAGCTACCATTAGCAAATAATTGATTTTGGTAATTATTCGCGCAGTAGTGATCATTTGCGGCGATAGTTATTTGTGATGGTAGTAATTTACGACAGCAGTGATCATTTGTGACGGCCATAACTATTTGGATAGCTACTAGTACCTAATTTGTCAAATGATAGATAGCAGGTATCTTTAGTTTAGTAACTTTAGTTATTTTAAGAATTTACGTTTAACACTCATATAAGTAGTAGTAGGTTCACTTTCGTTATCATTACCATTATCCATTATACAAAATAAGTAAAGAGCAAATGCTGTGAGTGTTTCTATCCTTGTGACAAAACCAACAACCTGGTAAGATGGTGTGAATGATTATGGTTTTGATCAATATGAGAATTACCAATCACTAGACAACAGGGTGTGTTGGGTTGGACCCAGGAAGAAAAACCTTATTGTTATTTGTTTCTTCGTAGCACAAAGGAATGATACTCGTTGGCAAGCTTCATAAGAAAATTGAGAACCGGTATAAAGAAAATCGTACAGTGGAAAAAGTTAGTCAAATTGATATAATATTTATCTTAATTGAGTCTAACTATATCCTGGAACATTTCAACAGCTCTTCCAATTTCATCTGTCACTTCGTTTATTCAATAGAGAGAATATCTGCATTATTCTCTTGAGCATCTTCCAACACTGCTTAAAATTTCATGGTACTATGCTTACCATGAAATTGTTACAAGAATAACCAGCGGATCGTCAAGAACAGTTGTAGCATATGGAGATGGATGTTTCTCATTTATCAGCCATGGAAATTCATATGGACCTAGAAAAAAAGCATGTTGGGCTAGGAGATATGATAACTTCAGAACTCCCATTATCTGTTATCTCTGTGATGGACAAGTGAAGAATGTTGGCCGGGTTTGGCAACTCGTGACATGTATGAATACATGCACAATTTTATGGAATTGGGACATTAATGCTTCACATAACATTCTTCGTGGCTTTATCTATTTGAACTCAAATTGTTTACGAGCAAAAACAATTACAGGGGAGTTGGGCGAAGATGAATGGTCTTTGACCCCACATTACTTCAGTTGTGTAAGTTGGTTCATGATGTGGATTTTTAGTAGCAGGGACTGGAAACTCTTATTGCAGTTCGCACAATTTTGCTGCTGTCATAAGCTTGGGTAAGGTAGCTGTAAAATCAGTATATCACATTATGTAATAGGTTAACGCTAATACTAAATAATTTTCAGCTTTGTATTATTATTTATGTATTAAATAATATAAATTTTTCTATTCTATGTAATCAATCTAATCAATTGTTAACTCGGAAACCAAATAGTGCTAGTCGCCAAAACTATTTTGAAGAGATGAAAGTCAAAACTAAAATTAAAAGTTATATGTCAAAACGAAATCAAAAGTCAATAGTCAAAATCAAAACTAGTCTCGACTTATGGCGAAAATCTTTTGACTTTCGCACGGTTGCGAAACTCCCGAGTTTTGGAAACCAATACTAAAACCAAACCAAACCATTAGAGCTTTAACAAAAAAATTAAAACTAGAAAGATTTAGTTGTAATAGAATTTTTAGATCTTAAAGAAGGAAACTAGTAAATATATTTACAAAAATGAACTCATTTCCAAATTTAAGTTGTTCCAGTAATAATTACCAGTAAGATTGATAATGGAATTCTATATTATCTTTAATAAAATTCAAAGTTTGACTATTATGATATATTTTAAATTCAGGTCGTTTTGACTTTACGTGATATTGAAATAAACTTTTATCTATATAAATATTGTAGAATTATTTTAAACCTGGAGATTTTCTTTAAAACTTCAACAAACAGGATTAAAGCCACCCACAAATCTACATGTTTCTTTAATTTCATTAAAACCATAGCTTTTGTTCAATGCTATAACATTTCTTCCCAACAACCGCCCTTGAAAAGTCATCTTGAGACCCATGATTTTAATCAATCCAACCAAAAATTAAATCTTGGTTTCATTTATTATAACTAATATAATATTGAAGAATTCTTCATATACTTATTATTATTAAAGGTTTTTTGTATGATTTGATTTTATAATAAAAATCAATTGAAGAAACCTTGTTGAATATAATTAATGGAGTATAGTTTTCAACTCTGAAACCACATTTTTTAATGCTTCATTTGTTCTATTCCTATTAAATAGCATAATCTCAAACATCAATTTTCGACCATCATTTCAAAATACATCATTTTTTGAGTTTCACTGATTATATTAGTACTATAATCTTAAGGCAAGCTGAACAATTGATGTTTTAATGAAATTTATGAACATAAACTAAACTCATTGATTAAACAGCTTTGTAAGCACCATCAAATCATTAAAATTTAATTCATCACAGGAGAAAACAAAACAAATGCAGCAGCAGAAGCATCCTCGTAAGTATTATTAGAGCAATATTAGCAACCATTAGTTCAGGCTCCAGTTATTGCTAGAAGATATAAAATAATTTTCAAACCGTGAATCAAACAATAATTTATAGTAATTTTAAAAATTATGAATCTGGTGATATTTATATTCGGTTAAAACATTTCATTCTGATTACAGTCAAATAATTGTAAGTACTAATATTTATATTCACGGATCCAGGATTGGGTTGTTGGGTTGAATTGAGATCGGATTAGCCGATCCAAGGAAATATTGAATGCCTCCCCTTCCCCCTTCTAAAAATGCCTTGATATTTTTTTACCCTATTTGGTTGGAATGTATTTTCCAAAGATGAGAGTTATTACAGAGTTCAACACGAAATGGAAATCCACACATGTTTATATGGGAAGGTCTTGGATGCCCTGTTTATATGTTTATAATAAGGAATATCAGATTAGCATAAATAAACACGCAAGTTTTTATTTTTTAATTATACAAAATGTAAATTTAATTGTATTTGATCAATATAGTCCAAGCGATGCAAATAAGTTTAGACAGAATTTAAGAAAATTAAAGCGAATACATCTAGCTCAAACTTTGATGCGCGTGTATCTTTTATTTTGAATATTGTTGAAGTCTTGATAATTGAACAAAAGGCTTTAGGAGAGTGTATGATCAAAAGAATATATATCATATATTTATGAAGTTTTAGAAAAAGCACAACGGATGAATATATTAAAGATATACGTGTTTTTAGTGTTGGTAATTAGTTTATTATAAAATGAAATTATATTTTTCATTCAATTTTATCTGATAGATTATGGTTTATATGTCAAACAAAAACTATTTACACTAGAATTTTCACTGAAACTTCATACCTAAGTTCTCAATAATAGTTAAACCAATGTTTAGACTGATTCAAAAAGGTGTCCGGTTTGAATGGACTAAAGTTTCTAAAGAAGCATTCGAGGCTGTTGACTCCCAAATACAAATGTCTGTTGGGACATGTGATCTTTAGTTGGATGTTTTGTAAATTTACAAGTATTTAATTTTGTAATTTATCACTTTATCATTATTAAATATGACTTTATGTATTTATTCACAGATAGCATGTACGACAAATTCAAAGACATCTTGAAACATGAAGGCGCCACCACAAACTCCCAACAAAATCATTGGAACAATTAAAAAAGTGAATGATTTGGAAAAAAAACAAAAGAAAAATATTTAATGCAGAAAAATCCTTTTTGCTCATAATTTATACACATTAAACATATATTTTAAAGTTGAATATCATGTCATGTAAAGTTTTAAACTTATGTTGCTTAACTAGGTGTTTATTTATTAATTCAGGAACAAAATGATTTTCATTGCACTTGCACTTATAAATTGAACGTGATTCAATTCCCTAGTACTAGTCCTGAGATGTTTAGATTTTTTCGAATCTCAAAAAACAAAATCTCTTTAGAACTTTTTCTTAAACAACAAAAACAATCTCACCTCCATGATAATAATGTAAATATTAATATGAAATTATAATTAAAATTTTTTTAATATATTCGTAAGAAAAAAATAATAATTTATAATATTTCAATTTTATTGGAGGAAGGAGTTAAGATAAGTAGAAGAGCGTTGCAAGCAAAAACTTCGTCGTCGTTATCGTTTGAAGAAAGGATGAAACGCGGCTTGCCTACTAAAAGAAAAATAGCAAATGTTAAGCATGTTATTGCCGTTGCTTCTGGTAAAGGTGGTGTTGGAAAATCTACAACAGCTGGTATAGCTAGTTATTTTTATATGGATAATTATATTATCCATATCGTATAAAGTAATCCGTTGATGGATTATTCAATTAATTCTTTTTTTTTGTTTAGTAAACCTTGCACTTGCTATTGCATCAACTTTTCATTACAAAGTTGGCATACTGGATGCTGATCTTTTTGGTCCTTCAATACCAAAACTCATGAATCTTAAAGGTCAACCAGGTCTTACACCTGGTTTGTAAAAAAACTTTTTTAAATGAAGATAAAAAAAATCATATCAACCAAGTGTATATGTAAGGATATTGGTTATTAACTTTGATATTTGTTTGGTAATGGTTTAGATGATAAATTAATTCCTTTGGTGAATTATGGAGTTAAAGCCATGTCAATGGGCTTTTTAGCTGATGAAAGTTCGCCGATTGTTTGGAGAGGCCTTATGGTAAGTCTTTAGAAATAAATAAATTTCAAAAACATCAATATTTGCAATAATAGTAACAATAATAATAATTGTAATATAATAATGAATAGGTAATGAAAGCACTTCAACAATTTCTTTATCAAGTTCATTGGGACGGACTTGATCTCCTTGTGATAGATATGCCACCTGGTACAGGTGACACACAATTGACCATAACTCAACAGATTGAATTGGATGGTAATGAGTGAATGAGTGAACTAATAAAAAAATGATCGCAGGGAAATGGTTCTAATATTTTTGATATTTATTGATTTAGGCGTAGTAATAATATCAACACCCCAAGATTTAGCATTATTAGATGTCAGGAAAGCTATTAATATGTTTAAGAAAGTGGATGTACCAGTAAGTTTACAATTTACAGTTCATTCTTATAATAATATTTCTATAACAATTACTTTCTCATCTTTTTTCTTCCTCTGTTTTCCAAATGTCTATTTATATGTAGATTCTAGGAACAATTCAAAATATGTCAATATTTATATGTCCAAATTGTAATCATAAAACCCATATATTTGGTAATAATGGAGTAGTGAAATTATCAAAGGAATTAAATGTAGAAATGTTGGGCGAAATTCCATTAGATTATGAAATTTGTGATTCAAGTGATAAAGGTAATCCTGTTGTTCTTTTTCCTAAAAAAATTGATAATAACTTTATTAGAAAATCTTATGTTGATATTAGTAAAAAAATTATCAATAAAATTGTTGATAAATAGTATAAAATTTTTAATCAATTAATTTTCATTATTTATATATACGTGTGTGTGTAATAAATTATAATAAATCTAGTCATACAAGAATTAAAAAATAAAATAAAATACTATCCTAAAAAAATTTTTAATTATGATTACAAAATAAAAAAAAGATAAATAAAAATGTACAAGTTGTTAATGTAAATTATATATAATAATGTATCTATAGATGTATGCATGAAATGAAAAAAAAAAACAAATATGTATATATAAATTAATATTAATCATAGTCATCATCTTTATAATCTTTCAACAAAACCCGGATCAACCCAGCCCCTTTCTTCAGTATCTTCTTTAACAGCATACCACCATTCTCCACTATCATGGATATGTATAATTTTGAGTAGAATGCCAGCTTCAAAATTTAATTCTCCTTTTTGTTTTGATTTATTCTTTCGAACTGTCTGACATAAAAATAAAGTATCATCATCATCACCATCATCACCACCATCACCGTCTTTTTGTTCTTCTCCTGTAAAGGTATCATGAAATACATCATCATTGTCTTCTTCGTCTGAATTATTTTGTTTGTTCCTTATTGTTGTAACTGCGCTATCAGTTGGATATTTTTTATGCCTTTCTTTTTGATTTGCTTTAATTGTCTTAAAATCAGCCCTTGAATGATCTTCATCATCAAATAGAGCGTCAGATTTACTCTCAAGTGAACTATGTTTATCTATAAAGTAAGATTTAATAAGATTAAGATATGATATTATGCGATAGATTATGTCATAAATAAATAATATGCTATGCTACCTGAACGAATATTCTTGACCCCTAAATAATCACCAGCTTGTGCAGATATTGAATCTGAGTAACTGAATCTTCGTGGTGCAATATGTTCTTTTTCAACCATTTCATTATTAATTCCTGGTTTTGATATTGATTTATTATCTAGAAAGAACACAACAATATTAATTAATGTTCCATAAATTTATTCACAATAAATATTTCAAATATTTACCATCTGAGTAATTCAATATCACAAATGATTTCAATTCATCATCCATTTCCAATCTTCCGTGATAGTGTTCTATATACTCGGAAATAATATCAATATCTCTAAAAACCAATTTTCTATCATTCGAAACATAATCTAATGCATTACTATCAACAAATTTATAAAAATATTGTTGGAAATCCATTCCCATTTGTTCATAAAGTCTCGATTGAATTTCTATCAAATTTCGAACTATTATATCATAATATTGTGTCATAAGCTCGAAAAATTTAGGAAGTTCTTCGTTCAGTTGATCAGAGATGGATACAAACGCATCAGCTGATTGTTGCAATGATTTGTCAGGCTAAATTATTAATATTATTTTGAAAAAAATTAATTCTAATTTTTTTTCTAATCTTCAAATATTGATATATGACTTACAATATCGTTTCTGTCTCTGATTGATTTGGCACGACCATAATCTAAAATTTTTCGTTCACGTTTTTTCATTACAGCGGCAGGAGCTCTGAATAGTCTTAGAAATTTTTCTATTTCAGGATATATATTTTTTTTAAGTGCCTCTTCCTATTAATAATTAATTATATTAATTTATATAATTAAAATATTCACATAATTGAATATTATTAATATTATTTATTTATCTTGTCGTTAATAAAAAAATGTAATACCATTTCTTTTACACAAGATGGTGCAAGACCATTCATCGTCTTTACATATTCAACTATTCTTTTATTTTCTTCTTTATATTTATTAGAAGTTATTCCAAATGTATAAAACTCCTCGATAACAAGTGCAAACCTCTGCTGGTCTTCAAGTTGTTCTATATTAAAAAATTTTTCCAAAAGTGGTTATAATATTAATTTATTATAACAACTTTAAAATTATATGAAAATATAATTTTTGCACACACGTTTAACAGCTTTAACCCAGTCTTTTACATCTTTCGATAACTGAAGTCCTTGTTGTTCCAAATTTTTAAACTTTTCTACAAATGCATCATAAAGGTCATCTGAAGTAGGCTTGGCAATACCCGTAGCAAGTTTAATCTGCAAATTAATTGAATATATAAGTTTTTAACTAGTAAAAATACATTAAATATACAAGTGTATACAAATATAAATATATTTACCATCTGCCCTCTTCGTGTTAATGATTTGGTAATTCCGTGACTAAAAATTTTAATAAAACGCAATTTTAGTCTATTTCAAAAAAAAGAGAATGTCCAATAAAAAATACTAACACAAGCTATTAATTAATACATATATGGATGAGTTTGTAAAAAAAAAATTAGCATAAAATTTAATTGTTCGATCAAAAAAAAAAAAAAAAATAGGCAGATAGACGTTATAAGTAACTCACATCACCATCACCCCTTTTCTTACTTCCTACGATCTTCTCAACTATGTCTTTACGTCTTTTTATTTCATTAATTCTTTCTGCTATTTTTTGAATTTCGTCGAAAGCTAATTTTAATTGATGAAAATCTGGATGTGAAGTTTTAGTGAGTGATAATATTTGCTATTATAATAGTATGATATTGTTAAATGAGGGCGAGAAGATAAATTATTAATAATAAACAAAGTTATTAGTTGATAACGAAAAAAATATATAAAAATGCATTTATAATAAAAAGACAACAATATTAATATTAATATGAAATTCGTACTTGCAATAATAAAGGATATTTTAATACACGCTGTACTGGTTTAATTAGAAGACTCGCGATATCCCAACTTCTGGTTCTTCCTTCACATTGTTTTTTACATTTCTAATAAAAAAATATATTATTACTATTATTATTATGACATTCAAATCATGATAAATAAATAAATAATAACCTGTAAGAAACCTTGAACATTTTCATCATCGTCAAATTCTTGTAATTTTTGCACCGACGCTTCATGCCTTTTACAATATTCCCCATAAACTGCCTCCATACGACTTTCTCCTCCTTCTCGTTTTTGCATCTACTTCCGCCAAAAAAAGAAATCAGAAAATATATAAATGCATGCATATATATATATATATGTGAGTGTATAAAAACCACCATCATTATACCATTTGCATAAAGGTATCTCCTAAAGATGTATCATCATTTTCATTATCAATATGTTTATCAACAGATTCATCATCATCACACTGAATTCCAGAAGCTACGAGTAATAAGTCTAAAAAGTCGGCAGAAAAATCAATGACTTCTGGAAGATTATTGAATATGATTTTACAATCATAAGGATTAAATATTGGAATTTCTTGCGCTTGAATAAAATAAACCTAATTTTAATTTTTAAAAATATTAATTAAATAATTAATAATAACGATCATCATTTAGTAATTATTTAATCATTTATTTAATCATTTAATTACTTCTTCTAAAAGTTCCATATCAGCGAAAAATGCTTTTTCAGTCTCCACAAGCTCTTTTATAACATTCCATAATTTTTTCCGTCGTTTTATATCTATTGTAAGTTCATCTTCTTCAACTAGCGTCACGGAAGAATTATCGCTAGAGATCCTTGGAAGTGATAATTCATTCTGTGAATTTCGATTTTGATCTGAAAAAGTAGGACTTGCTAATTTGATGGTGGATGGTGATGTTGATATTGATGATGTTGACATTATTGATGTCGGTGAACTTTTAGTGATAGTAATAATATCAGGTATTGATTTTAAAGGCGCAAGTGGAAGAGGTTTTGAATGCTCAAGTACCTCTGGTTCAGAATTTCTAGATACTTGTGAATCATTGAAAAAAATAGCGATGCTAGCTTTTTTCTCTTCAAAATCAACTGACGCTGTTGATTTATGAGTTGTTGAATAATCTGAAGAAGAAGAAAAGGTTTGCGTGCTGGAAGAACTATCCTCTGAACTTTTTCTTAGAATTGGTTTCGGTATTGGAGGCTGTACAACTGTCTTTGTGTTTCGCTTGTTTTGATTTATTGTCGTTGACTCTGAATCTACTATCTTTGAATTGAAATCATCATCGTCATTATTAGAATTTTTAATTTTTTTAATTGAAATATTACCATTACTGTTATAATTATTTGTAGTGGTTTTTTTAAATTTATCTATACTAGTATTATTATTAGATGGAAAAAGAATCTAATTGGGTAATATTCAATTATTATAATTATTATTAGAAAATAGCATACAATAATAATAATAATAATAAAAATATATATTACATGATCATCATTATTATCCTGAAATTTTGCTTTAATCTCACCAAACTTTATAGAGGTCTCATCGATGTTTGATGGTTTATTATTATTACCGATTTTTATTCTTTCTTGAGAAACTATTTTCTTGTTGAGTGATTTTGTGGCTATGGGAACAGGTAACCTTGGTGATGAAGGAAGTGACAATGCAATGCGAGGTTTCTCAATATTTAGTTCCTGCTGTGTACTAGAATCTTCAAATACACTTGATAATTTATTAATATTTGGGCCTCGGGTTATTGTACCAGTGTTATTACTTATTCTTTTAGGTGGTTTTAATAAAGATGTCGATGATGATGAATTTGATGAAAAAGTAGTTGAAGTAGAAGAAAAGGTAGTAGAAGGAGAGGCGGAGGAAGAAATTGATAAAGACTCGTTATCAATTTTATTTGAAGTTGTTGAAAGTCTCATTGGTTTTGGTTTTGGAGGCGGAGGCTTTGGTTTTGGCTTTGGCATGTTCTTTGAGGTTACTCTACGATTAACTTCATTTCTGTTGTTATTATTATTATTAACTTTATCCATATTATATAAACTGTAAATTAATAAATATTAGTGAAATCTATAAAATGTAATGTAGACAAAGTAAATCAAGAAGGTACACCCCCTGAACCTACTTAATTAAATATAGATCTTATTTTATTTCTCCCACTGGTTATTTTTTTAAAAATAATAGTAATAGAGAAAAAGTTACGAAGAGGAAAAATAAATATTTATATTATATTTGCCGTAACTAATATTAATTGGTTATATAAAAGATAATAAAAACACGTTTCATTTATAGCATTACAATATTAATATACTTAAATTAAACTTTTTTTTTCAATATAGTTTAGTACATGTTACATATTTATTAATTTAGGAAACATGGCTTACTTTTCCGCGCTATTTCGTACCACAAATCATGTCTAAAATTTTTTTTTGGAATTTAATTGGCTAAATAAACAAAAAATTGAATAGTTGAGTCTTCCAAGCATATACCCTCAAAAACCCATTGTGATCAAAGACACTTGCCATAAATGATTGGGCTGGTAGCTACAATTGCCGTAAATAGCTGTTGGTAGCTACCATTTGCCATAAATGGCTGCTACTGCAAATATATATGGCTGTAGTTGCTATATATATGGCTGCTGCAAATTGTGACTGCAAATAACTACAGCTGCTGCAAATAGTGTTCAATTATTGTCATTAGTCATATATATTAGTCATGCAAAAGTTTTCTTGAATCATTTGTAATCTGCAGTAACTGAATTTTTTTGATATATTTTATAATGGTAACTACATCAAGAAATTTTTTCTGACACAAATTTAGATAATTATTACACTATTTATGTAAATTTTACAGTGGGCCCCATAATATTATGCAAAAATAATACAAAATTATGCAATTATTACATTCAGTGTAAATATTACATAAATTTCTTATGTAAATATTACAACATTGTATATCAAAACTTATGGATGTAATATTACAGTGGGAAAATTTCCTGATGTACCAGGGGTAATTACCCTATGGTAGTTATCATTGCTGCAAATAACAAAAAATCCACAAGAACACAAAAACTTTATCCTATTAGGTTGCATTTAAAAATGCATCATGTTAAGAATGATATAGAATTTTATACTTCTATCACTAAAGGAAAAAATAACAAAACTCAATATTGGAGATGTCAATGAAATTTCAGAAAACATGACAACAACAGTTATGAATATTTATCAAAAATGTCTTAAAGAAAAGACAGAATGTTCTAATAATACAAAATTAAGTGGCTCAGATTATTTTGGAATGAATAATGAAGACCACCTAAAAAGAATATCTGCAGATATAACCTTTATTCCAATTTACATTCAAGAAAACAATTTTAAAATGTTTGTAGTTGATTCTTCACACAATAAAATAGAACCATTAGATGGTTACCATATCACATTTATAGAAAAATATAGGCATGAAACCATTTTATTTTCTCAATTTTATAATAAAAAAGGATTTCATGCTAATTTTTATTCAACAAAAACCTAGAAGAATATCAAAATTCTGATGTGAATGAGTTGTGGAAATCAATTGGAGTTTTCAATATGTTCACTGGTAGTCAACTATTTCTGTTAGAAAACATAGAATTAAAACAAAAAATTGATGAGTTAATAATTAAGAAAATTTACATCAATGGAGTTCAACTATTTTTGTAAAGCTTCACCAAACATACATGATACACTTTAATGTAAAGACCTTACAATGTTAGTTTTAAATCATTTGCATAATAAAAAATCAACTTTGTTTGAATTTTATAATTTATTATACAAATTTAAAATTATTGAAAAATTCAGATGAAAATTTTTTAAGAAAAACAAGAGCTTATGGACAGTTATTGATGCAAAACAATAATGATTGATAAAAACAATGAGTATTGGTCACACTGCAGCTGATTTAGAAATATTGCAGCTTTTTTCTGAAATCAATTCAGAATCAGAACCAAAACCAGAAATAGAACTAGAACTAAAGTTTCTGCTTCTATTAGTAGCCAAAATTGCCCAAATACTTTGGGCAAAAATTATTTTTTTATAAGCCCAAATTACTTTTTGTTATTAGCCGAAATTGGGTGAAATTACTTTAAAGTTGTTTAAGTTAAAACAAGCTGATTCATATAATTTTTTAATGTTCATACTTATAAAAAATGTTGAGAAGCCCAAATTGCCCAAACTAGTTTGGGCTTTGAGAAAACAGTTTGGACCAGAAACCTTAACTAGAACTAGAATCAACACTAAATAAAAATTTGGAACTTGCTTTGAAGATTCAATAAATAATAATAAAGAGGAGATGAAGGTCAACAAAAACTTTTATCAATAATTGCAGGAGATTTTACATATTTAAATTAAACAAAGAACTTAAGCCTAGCAATAATTTAATAAATGCTGCTAGAATTCATGCATGATTATATGGAAAAGGTGGACAAATTTTAGAAAATCATATCAAAACAAATAGAGAAAGGTTTTCTACTGACCAATTAAAAGGTCTTGATACAATGAGCTCATACAAAACTGATCCAAAATTTTTTTCCTCAATTATTAGGAAAGTAACTCTTATGATTAAAAAAAACCAAAGAGTATCTAATACCACATGTGCTAAAATTACTATGTAGCAATTTGCTACTTTGGAAATATATAATATTTGGGGCATACTGCAACAAAACCAGACAAAGTGAACATTGGTATTACCAAAGATTTGAGGGATCAAAATTTAGTCATTATCATCACATTTATAATGTGATTACAGTTCACCTTGCTTAACCATATTTCAATAAAAAAGGACTTTATTGAAGTTAAATAGCCATTATAATTTTAGATTCAGTATCCAATACATTTTCAACAAAAGGTTCAACTGACTCATTATTTTCTGTTATCAAATAAATAAACAATTTTATAGGTCACATGTAAAATATTCATATGATTACAAATTAATGGGGGAAGAAAATTTCACCTGGGTGAGAAATAAATGTTCCCTTATATATTACACATGTAAAAATTACAACTGTAATTATTTGACCATTTTGCACAAAACATTAAATATATTTTTCTTTTAAGGATTAATAGTTTGTCTATTAAGTTTTTTAGGAAGTTTTGGATAAGTCCCTTTTGTTGAATAGACATAATTTTGAAAATTTTGCTGGGTAATGGTTATTAGAAATTGAAAAAGTTCTTCAGAGTCAATCTCCTTTTCATTACTAACCAAATATAGTCCCTCAAGTTGTTCACATGATACCAAAATTTGCCTTACATCTTTGACATCAGAAATTGAAGTAGTAGTTAGGTAATGCAAATTTTGATAACAATATTGAGCTATTGTTTCATTAAGTTGTGATAATTTTTTCTTGCCATTTGGCCAGAACCCATATAAATCAAGAACTTTGATTTGTGAACAAAATTTTGTTAAAAATTTACTAAGAACATTCAAAGATGGCAATCTTATACATGCAGCCCAAAGTATTTTGACACTGTCATAAAGGGGGTTACACATGTAGTAAAGGGGTGTTATGCTTATGTTTTTAATAGTGAATGCCGTAATTAATTTCTACTTTCTACCATCAAAATTGGAATAATTTTGGCCATCAAAATCACCAAACCAATTTGGGCTGCATGTATAGGCAATCTACCTCCAATCCTAAGTATTTCCAGCCCTTTGAAAGTGGTTGACATACACATATCTTGGAAAAGGTCTTCTATATTATCATTCACCAAAATCTCCAATACATCAGGTTCGAAAAATGACCAATTGTTTCTGGTGGAAAACATAATGATCCTCCAGTAAGAGTAAAATATTTTATAGAACTTGATTAATGCTTTACTGATTTCTTTGTGTAGTTCTAAATTAACAACATTATAAACAGAACCATATACCACACATTCTAAATATTTTTGTAAAGAAATCAAATATGCCAATCCCCTATTATCACTTTTTAAATCTTTCCTAATAATAAGGCCACCATCCTTCTTATTATGATCATCATTTTCATTAATAAAAAGTTTGATAGAGCACATTGATGTTAAGTGATAATATAAATGTGGTGATGCTGTGTTGTCACAATGTAACTCATAAATTTGTGAAAAACATTTCCTAGCTCCTGATAGATATAGAAATGGTATATCAATCTTACTTATGTCTAACTTCTTAAATGGTGGACAAACCTTCTGTAAACATTCAAATAATTATCACAATTATTTAAAAATGTTCAGATATTTATTTAACAATGTTAATGAACTGATAATTTTATTGTTGTAAAATTATATAAAAAGTTATCTTTATTTGTTTGAATTTTACTTCTTTAAATAATAAAAATACAATTCTTAAAGTATAAATATAAATCATAAGAAAATAAATAAATATATAATCTATATATTGTATGGAAGCTTATAGACTTCCCGGAAAGTATAATCATAATTTAAAGATAACTTCTTTGATTATAAATAATATAAATATAATAATAATATGAGTATATTCCCCATAATATAACATAACAATATAATATCCACATTCCCTAATAAAAATAACAATGATAACAATAATAATATATGTATAATTCTTAATCCCGATTGCCAAGTAACTTTAATTAAACGAAAAAAATGAATTCCTCTGATTACCAAATATGGTAATAAAATTAATTGCCATTTGTGTGACATATTATTTCGAGGATTGTTACACCTTCATTAGCATTTGATAAAAGTTATATTTAATAATATGAATGAAATATGGAAGAGAATCTATGTTATCATCATCATTTTTCTTTAGTCTCAAATACCCAATCCAGATGAAAAGTTGAAAGCACTTGAATAAAACTTGGATAACTAAAAATTGGTAATGGTAGATGATAAATATCTTCTAAAATAATTGTGCCATCATTTGGTAAAAATTCTTTCCCTGCATGAGCTATCAATGATCTCAATAGTGTTGAGAAAAGTTTAGCACCATGTTTTGAATCAGTCAGTGGATCAAGATATCTTTCAGTGTCCTTCCAACTGCCCATGTGCACCATACTCGATTCACCAATAAACATGAATGTAATGAGTACATATCATCTTCTAAATATTCAAATATATATTTTATGCAGCTGTCTGGTAGTGAAATACAAGTTGTTCCTTTCATGTTACTTGATGTTTAACAAATAAAATTGTTAGTGAGAACTTTAAATTTTAAACTAGAGTGATGACAAGTGGTGATAGCCACCACCACCATCCTTATGATTATCTTCTTGTTGTCTTTTATTATGCAGCATTTTGTTAAAAAAGAAAAATAAAGTTGATTATTTGATCAACAGACATGTACACATTAATTGTTTATGTATATTGGACAGACACGAATTGGTTTGTCTCTGAAGCAGATGTATTTATAGGTATTTTTTTTATTTGTATTGATGTGTCTTTTAAGTATTTTGATTGAAATCAAAACATGGAGCAGATCTTGCTGGGTAATTATAAGATCCTTATCAAGATAGTAAGTACACAAATTGGTATTCAAAAAGGACTGGTGCTCCAAAAGGTGATACACTTGGTTGAATATAACCTTTTTTTGATAAGTCAGTCAATTGCTTTTTTAATTCATCTAATTCTGTATAAGACATCTTGTAGATTGGGCGGATTGGAGGTTCTGTTCCTGGAACAAGTTCTATAGTGTGATATATGGCATGTTTTGGTGGTAATTTCCCTGGAAGTGTTGTAGGAAAAACATCAGCAAACTCTTTCAAATCTTGTTTACCTCTGATATAATATCCTTCTTTATTAACATAAACAGCAAAAATTTCTTCAGAATTGGGAATCTTTGAAAATTGTTGTCCAGAGATATAAACAGAATTACAACTTGTTTCACTAAAAGTTTTTGTGACCTTAATTACAATTTTCTTGGTACCATAAATGAAAGTCAAGGTATTTGTTTCTAATCTATAGTTGGATTGCATGATATAACCAAGGCTTTCCTAAGATAATATCATATCTCTGTATCTTCATCACTTGCTATTCTGATGTTCAATAAATTCCTAATTCTAAATTTTTAATTTTTACAATTCTATTTGTTGTTGGTTTTCATCCATCTGCTAGTTCTAATTTCATAGGCAAAATCTCTTTTGTGATAATCTTATTCTTTAATACAAAATTTTCATTAATAAAGTTTTTAGAAGCTCCACTATCAAGTAATATCCATGCTGGATATCCATTAACTTTGCCTTTGAATCTTGACAAATTTTCTCAATTATCCTCAGCATTGACCAATTCTAAACTATTAGTTGATGATGATGATGATGATGGTGGTGGTGGTGGTGGTGGTGGTGGTGGTGGTGGTGATGATAATTCTATAGTATTAACCTTAGATTTGTTCTTGGCCCAACAATTCTTAGTGTAATGGCCTGGTTTCCCACATTTATAACAATTTCCTTTAAAAATTTTTTTATTGTTTTCTCCATTGTTGTTATTATTAATATTATAGAAATTTTGTCAAGTTTCTACCTGATCCAATTCCATAGGTATGTATTTACCATTACCATTGTCATTACTATTATAGTTATGACTATTATTGCTACCATTGTAATGAGTGTAATGATTATTCCTTTGGGCTTGTCCTGAGTGGGAGGATTTTATATGTTGATTATTGTTTGAAAAAGGTCTTCCCATCCTGAAAATGGCAGTATTGTATTGGATGGCACATGCCATGGCTCTCTATAATGTATCAGGGGCTTGATATGCCACTTCCATCTTTGTTGATGGCTTCAATCCATCTATATAATAAGTTACCTGATCTAATTCTCCCATGTCCTCAATTTGACCAACTAAATTTTGAAATTGAGATATGTACTCTTGCACAGTGCTGGTTTGCTGAAGTCTTTTGAGTTTTTGTCAGAGGTATTGTTGATAATTGGGTGGTTGGAAGGCAGTTCTCATAGAAGTTGCAAAAGTCATCCAGGTAGTATATGGTGGTGTATTATTATTTCCTACCACTATGTTTAAATACCGGTGCAAAGCTGCATCTTTGAATCCAGTTGTAGCATAATTGACTTGAGTGGCTTCATATGTGATTCCTTGGGTTCTTAAAACATTTTGTGCTTGTAGTAACCATGTTGTGACATTCTCTTTTGATTCTCCTTTAAAAGGAGGAATTTGTACAGAAATTTTAGGAGGAGCAGTTCCTGTATTTTGTGGGTTTGTGTTTTGTTGTCCTAATGTTTGCATTAGTTGTTGTTGGGACTGTACTAATTGTGCTATAGCATTTATCAAATTTTCTGTTGCCATTGTAAAATAAATAAATAAATAAATAAAAAATACTAAAGTATATGTGTTAATGTCCACTGCTTTTTGAATTATATATTATAACTTGAATATGTGTGTGTGTGTGTGTGTGTGTGTGTGTGTGTGTATGTGTATGTGTATGTGTGTGTATATGTATGCAAATGTCTGCTGCTACCAAATTGTAAGAATTACTTTTCAAAATTTAATTTAAAATATTCTTAAAAACAAATACTTTTTAAAAATAATTATTTTTTATTATTTTAGAAAATGTTCATTATATATTAATTAAGATTACACAGATTGATAAAATATAAATAGATGAAATATAATATAAATAAGTTAGTCTATTTATTATCAATCAATAATTGTTCAAATTGTTACAATAGTAATAAGTATGTACAATAATAGAATAAAGAGAGATACATATAAATAACATAAAAATAATTTACATTAGTCATCACATGGATTAAAATCATATGGAACAGAATGTTCCAAATGTCCCGAATAATTGTCTGATTCATAGTTTTCTTCCATGACAATTCTATTTTTCCTCTTTGCAAATGTTTGGTGATATGCCCAAGTTTTCTACACCTATAACATTTTGTCCTTTTCTGTAATAGCTTTTTTTCTACTAGATGGTCTTTTATGCCACAATATAGACAGAACCTGTTTGATTCATCAGGTTCTGGTTGATGATATTTTGTGAAATAGTTGGAGTTGGTCTTGAAGTCAATGAAAATTTGTTCTAATAATGTTTTTTTTGAATAAAATTTCTGAATAAATTTTTTTGAAATTCATTGTTTTAAGAATTTAAAATTTATTTAAGACAAGATTTTGTTTTTTAATATCTATTTATATCAGAATGTTATCAAGATTTATGCATGGTTTAGATTATTAATGGAATCAATATTAAATTTAGTATTGAGGTTGTTTTTAATTTGTACAACAGAGATTGATTTCCTTTAATAGAAAATTCTCAACCTATTAAAGGAAAAAGTGGTTGCAGCTAGATGATTGTAATAGTTAAATTTATCCCATAAAAAAGATTGAATTTCTCCTGTAAAAAAGAAAGTGGTTGCAATTGTATAATAGAGATTGTTGAATTTATGCTGTTAAAGAAAACTGATTGCAATTGAGTAGTAGTAATAATTAAGGAAATTGTAAAGCCATAATAATAAAAATCATTGTTAATGAAAACAGATTACAATCAAATAATGAATTATATGTACTGAAAACATATATAAAAGGTTTCAATATTTCTTTCTTTTGCTTCTTATTAAATTGTTTTCTCTATAAAACAAAAAAATATAGTTCCTTTTCTCAATTAAAAAAAATATCAATTTTTTCTTTTATCAAAATCATTTTTCTTTTCCTTTAATCTTTAAAACAAAACAATACTCAATTAATTTTCTCTTTATTAAAATCATTTCTTCATCTTTTTTAATCTCTTTAAAACAAGTGAATACTCAATTAATTTTTTTCTTTATTAAAATCATTGTCCTTTTCCCTTTAAAACAAGAAAATATTCAATTAAAATTTTTTTTTAATTAAAATCGTTTTCCTTTTCTCTTTTTTAAAACAAAAAAAAAAATAACCAATTTCATTTATTTATTTTTAAAATGAATTCCAACAAAAAAATTGGTTCTGCTTCTCTTTCAATCAAAATCTCTGATAATGAAATGATTTTTACTGATGACCAGTAAGTTGTTTAAATCTAATCTTTTGATTATTATAATTTA